TGGATGGATATTCACAATAAGAACTGCAGATATCGACAGGTGAATTATGACTAGTTGTAAGTCCAGTTTCAAATGTCTAGAGTTAAATTCTAACTAGTCACAGTTCTAGATAAAGATATCTTTTTTTGCCCTCAATTCAAGACGTCTAAATTGTCCTGGAATTAGGTTTGAACTGGTCAGAATGATGTTGACATCTTAAACTGGTGTTATTACTTGTCAAAATGTAATTACAGACATATTTAATTGGAGTTTGAAATGTTGCAGATATCTGTAAGGATGTCTATAAAACATATTTCTGCCCAATTAAAATGACAGCGAAACGTGTAACTGTAGTTTAAACCAGTCAATGTAATAGTTGCAGAAATCTCAAATGTCATTGTGACGAGTCTGGATGTTGTGCAAGACGCTGCTCACAAGGCTTCATGGTGGATATTGGTCCAGGGAAGCATTTGAAACAGTGTTAACAGAAGTAATGTGGTTGAAAATGCTCTGAAGTAGGAAGAACTAACCAGTAAGGGGTTTTTAGAGAACGAGAGCTTTGTTCATTTAAGCCACGTGGTTCAAAATAACGAGAACTTTGGCTCTTGTTGTGGCAAAACGGCTTGCAACATCCTGTTATGGCTACAGTGTCATAATATGTTTGAGAAGCAAGGCACAACCACCTTCCACTCGCTGTAGCTTTTCTGACGATATCTGGAATCACAGTGTAACTACAACTAGTCAAAATGACATTGATATCTTTCATTTTAATTCCAGGTAGTCAAACTCAGCTTTTAGATGTTGAAACAGCTTTGTTGGCAAAGTTTTCCATGTTTTTGACTTGCAAGCGTTCACACCACTGGACAATCCAAGATGGCAATGGCATGTGCTGCTGTTTCCTCTCATTTATTGCTGGAGATTCCATCTGCCTTTATCAGAAATGAACACATCGTCTACATATATAAATGGGCACGGTAACGGGGTCTAGCTGGTGAGATTAATGCAAATGTAAACCTGCATTCTTTAACAGCTGGTTGCAAAAAAGGACTTTGTCTTAATGAGCTTCACAATTTCTAGTTGCACGTTCATTTTGTTATGTATGGTCCCATTCAGAGTAAAATAGACAATAAATCAGGGTATGTTTTAGGGCAGAGCTACTTTGTGACTGACAGGTCACTATGACACAGTGTCGTTGAAATTCAGCTCCACCCGTTGGCAATAGCCTAGTAGCAAACTCCAGGCTTCAAAACAAGGCTCCATGAACCAGTAGGTGACATCACTGTGGATATGCTATGTTTTCACTCCCTCAGTCCTATTCAAGATGATACAGGGATAAAGTCTACCCCACCCTGCAATGGGTAGATGTCCTCTGTCTGGTTCAAGTTGTCTCCATGTGTCTGGACACAGAAGGACAATAACAATCAGGGAGCTACACTCGTGGATATACCCGTGTAGGGGATCAAACCCAGCACCTTGCAATCAGGCAAACACTGCTAATCATTCTGATGATAATATCTGTGATGCTGATCAGTGAAAATGAATGGCAAAGTGTGATGTAGATGAGTATCATGTTTCCCTTGAGTGAAATTGGGACAATCTGTGCAGTGTGACAACTCTGCTCCAGAGACATGAAAGAGGAGAAGATAAAGTGAGTTCATGCAACACTGATCACGATCAGTCCCTGCTTGATGTGTGCTCTTTTTCTCAAAAAAATGAAAACTCTGGCAGCATTGTAGTGGCAGTCCCCGCTGATGCCACAATGGCTGAAAGCGAAAGAGATGGAACAAATCATCATCAAAGGCCACAAACGCTATAATGAAAGCTACAGTAGTATAGAAACCTGTGTTATCAAAGGCACGGGAAATGCCAGAGAAGTCACTCAACAAAAGCAAGAAAATAACCACAGCAAAACAAAGAGCCCCTGTGTTTCATCTACATGTAAGAGTCATGTGAGTGGTTTGATTTTAGCCAGTTTTGCACTGGTCTCCTCCGAAGAGTCACTAATGAGCAGTCTGGTTTGTGTTGGGAGGAAAAAATCCTGAAAGAGATCTGACACATAAAACACATCATTTTATAAATGAAGTGGAACATGAGCTGACTTTGTTGTACTTGGCCAGAGCGTGCCACAAAGTTTGCCACATTATTTGAAGAACATATGTTTTGTTTTACACAAGGTGGCAGCAGAGTCCAGTCCAGTCCAAGTCTACTGAAATGCTCTTGTAAAAAGTGTTGAATGAAACTATATGTACCAATTGATCCCAAAGCCACCAAACAAAAAAGAGTCTGGCAGGTAACGATGCATGAAAGCTCAAAATAAGAATAAACCAACAAAACTAAACAATAAATAATCGCAAATGAATTACAAATGTTCAAATTAAAACATCAATGAACTCTAAACCTAATGACCATCTTTTCTCTGCACAGCTCTATGCATCTTGATGTTAAATTGAGGCAGAAGCCAAAATAACGACACAGTTGGATAAACATAATTATCATACTCCAGCCAAAAGCACTTGAAAAGCCAATAAACCATAATGATTATGTCTTATTGCTCACGAGTTAATGAGATAATAGAGCAATGCAGAATTTTAAGGAGTATGTGGATAATAATGTGAAAAATGCTGTTTTGTAATCATTTAGATTTTCAAATATTTAAAAAATAAAAAAGGTTGTATCAGTATGTATTTGTGTGAAGGCACAGAAAAGGAGCACTTCCCTGAGCTTGTTTGCTTAGCAACTGCTAGCTTCTTTCAGCAATTAAATTTTAAAAATACACCCATAAAAGAATTTTATTGATGGACCTTCCTTTAGAATATATCATAATGATCCAAATATTTTGGTATCACTGGGTTATTTTGGGACTTAAGTTTGTCAAGATATTGTCAGCTATTTAAAACTGCAATAACTGTTTTGTTGTTGTTGTTGTTGTTTGCTGTTATAAACCCACAAAGGTTTAATTTGATCTTTTAAGCTCAGATCAAGCAGATATGGACAGGTATCATTCACATTAGGATTCATTAAGCAAACCATGATGAATGTAACTGATGACTAATGACATGTACATACGAGTTTAGCATACACTGTTTCATCTTGTGCAAGATCTGTATCTCAAATGATGCCACAAGAGCATTAAGAGTAAAGTTGTGGGTCAGACAGCTGAACAATGAGTTGAAACTCATCGTAAAGCTCCATACAGTCAAGGGGAGCTGCAGGTCATTAGAACGGACTCCTTTGACACTGGTAGCATTTCACCTCATCATCTGGTGCTACATTATCATAAAACTATTGATTATTATATAACAGTATTAAAATAATAAATAAATATGAAATAAATATAAACAAAAAAAAGTATTAATAATTGTATTTAACTGAGGTGGATGAGAGATATCCTTAAAGACACAACCATTTTTTTTTTCTTTTTGTAAGCTAACATTAGCTTTAGTTTGTGCCATAGAATTAACCATTGATTTTATACTCAAAGAAGCCTGTGTGAATATTGTTCTGAAGGCTTTTCTAGAATATTAAAAGGCTTTCTTAACTCTCTGGATGAAAAAAAAAAAAGAAAAAAAAAAGCAATATGTCAACTGAAGGATAAAAAAAAACAGAAAAGTTTTAAACTGTTTCCATCGTGGCAACTCGGTTTTATATTCAAGTAGCTAAAAGGCTGCAATCGTTGTTTTGATTTTAAAACAGATGTAACTTGGACAAACAAGTTTAACATGTTTTACAATTGAGTAGGGAAGTCTTCTAGAGATACTTCCGAACAACGGTAAGTGGTTTAAAAGAACTGTGTTTAGATTTTTCAGACACTGCGAGTCAATTCACAGAAAGCAGTGATTAGCTTTGTGAGCTAAAGGTATGCTAATACACAACTAGGGCTGGCAAAAGATGCCTCTGTAGGTTTTTTTCTTTCTTTCTTTTTTTGAGTTCCTGAAACAGCTAAGCTACATTTAATGTACTTTGTTCCACAATTTACATCAAACTTCAAATGGGGTTAAGTTAAAGTTAAATGTGTTCATGAGATGGGTTCATATTGAGCACCCCTGTCAACCATAAGTGGATCTTTTTTTTTTTTTGTGAAATTTTGCCTTAATGAGAGGCGATGTGTGGGGGGTGGTAAGTAATGTTTTGTTGTTGTTGTTGTTGTTTTAGTTCTGTAGAGTTTTTCCTAATTAATTTAATAATTTCTGGGGAACCTTCATGCTCCCAAACACCTCACCTTTTAGTACGGCTTCACGTTTCTATTGTGTTACCTGCTAAGCTAGCTAAATGGTTAGTGACACTTATGTCCATGTTAATGTTGCCTAACAATGGTGTTCTCAGGACTTCCAGCAGGTGTCAGAACCTGAATGCCAGACATTTGTGTTAAATGACTTCTCAGGTTGTAACCATGAATTTTAGTTATATAGCTCTGTCTGAAATCACAGTGAAGTCGTGTTTACAGGAAGAGTCCATATGAATACTCCTCTTTTGTGGTATTCGCAGCCTTGTAAGTGTAAATTTACTGAACACTGAGTTCATTGGTTGTGTTGTATTACAATTTTAGAAATGATGGGTAGAACGTAATTTATGTTGAATGGCAAAATATTGTAATTTAGAATTAGAATTAGAATAAAATTTTATTAGTCCCTTCGGTATAAGACCTCAGGGAAATTGTTAGAATTTTGGTCCTATAGAGTTTTTATTTTTGTAAATTTATAATGTCTGAAGAAATATTGATATTCCCAACAGCCCCACCTTTTACTGTTCTTTGTGTGCATTTAACATCCCGATTTACCCTATTCAGGCCTTTCATGCTGCCATACCTAGAAGGTCGTTAGGGGTCCAATGGACCTAAAATGGAAAAATATTTGTTGATATTTATTATAGACTTTTATACTATGTTAAATACATTTTCTGATAAGTTGACATATTTTGGGTTCCAAATGCATGACAAATGTCCCTCTTTTTATATAAAAAAAAAAATAAAAAAATAAAAAAATCTTCAAAAAAAACCAATACCTGTCAACTAAACCAAATGGACTGGGGTCCAAAAGACCCCAAAAGTCCTGAATAGGGTTAATAACAAAACCGAAGGCCGTCATGCTGGATGACTAAAAACAACTAATATTTTGACCTTTCAGGTATGAGTTGCTGCAACCTTTTGTGATTGTCTTTGGAGTTGAGTGCCTTTGTTAAAAAAAACAAAACAAAACAGAACACAATGCCCACTTCCTACATTGCGTTATCTCTTCCTAAACTTGCTTATTGATTAGCTTCAACACTAAAGATGCTAACTGTAACGTTCACGTTACCCTTACATAGCACTGGTATTATCATAACTGATGATAATGAATGTTAAGAATGATTTTTTATACGACCTTCCATTTCGTTGCTCAAAAATTCAAAAGCGTAAAAAATAAAAATAAAATACTTTCTGCCTCATTTATAAGTCTCAGTTTCCATTTACTGCTCTCTGCTGACTTAACTACTGAGTGTCCACTGCATGGGACAAAGTGAAGTTGAACAAGTTACATTTCTCTTTCATTTTTCCCGACAGTCTTTGAAAGCAGCACTTGCACAGCCCTCGTGCGTCCAGGTCGGATGCGCAGTTTTCCACGTCCCGGGCCATGTCCGCTGAGCTCATCATAAAGGTGGGCGTCGGTGGGTGGGACCGGGCCCCTCCGAAGCCTCACATTTTGCATGAGAGGGAGTGAAAGTTTAGAGAGCAGCAACAGCGGGAGAAGCAGCTGACTCGAGGCTCGGTGTGAGCACAGAGAGAGAGAGAGAGAGAGGGCTGCTGTGTGCCTGGTACTGCAGCTTCAGGAGGGACTGTGCTCAGCGGAGGGAACCAAAGTAAGTTCAGCTGCACCTCGTTAGTCACTCAGCTCCAGAATGGAACCGAGTTTTCTTATTGAGACTTACTCAGTGGATGTAATGAGGCACTGTGATGCTCCAAGATGATATTCAGTTTCGTTTTTAGATCAGTTATAAAGCATTCTTTAAGAACCCGTGGAGTTGTTTCTCTGTTAGCAATTTTCTCAAGGCCTTAAAGTGATCAATCTGAAATTGTTTTCTCACCATTTAATCATGCCTGGATTGTGCAACCTTGTGCATTGCATTAGAGCATGATAAAGAATAAGAGTTAAAACTATGAGTCAGTCAGTGCAGGATCCAGCTTCTCCAGTGTGAGGATTGTAGCTGTTCAGTGTTTCAGGGCATCTTTTTGGTGCATTTTATTGACTAAACAGTGGTTTGACATGTAGAAAATATCCAATAGCTTAATTTATAGTGAAGCTACATCCAAAGTCCAGTTAAAATCAGGATAAAAATTGTGCCGAACATGTGCAATGTTTCTGTTTTTTTTTTAATGCTCAAATTCAAGAGAGTGCTCATATGAGTGAGGCAATTTGATTTTCTTGTATCACTAAAAATATGTTAAAGGGCATCGGGGAAAAGAGCAAACCTCTTTTCTTTTCCTCTGGTTCTGCTTGAAGTGGGGAGTGCTTTAGAAAAGGGCATGAGCGGAGCAGTTGACATTCTTATAAACTGACATTTTGACCTTTTGAGGCAATGCATAGATTCCCCGCAGCAGCAGGTGGGACTCATGAATCTGACATGAAGGTGAAAGCAGTATATGTATAGAACAAAAAGAAAAAGTTCCTTCTCGCAGTTTGATAGCACTGACATTACAAGTTTTAAAAGAGATTCATCTACATGCAGTTGAATTCTTTTGAAAATGTCCGTAAAAGCATGATTTATTTATGATTTTTTAGTCTAGAAATGTCAGTGTTTCTGATGTGAGGGGCAGCAGAGGTGTCAGATTTCAGGGTTTCTGGTTCGATGGAGCTGTTGGTTTTCTGGTTTGTATGCGAAGCAGAGGGGAATGTGAACATCCTGAATCTATTGCGCTGTTTGATTAGATGTTGTTCAGTGGCTGCAGCTTCGTCCGCCCCTCATCCCTTCTCAAAACTTTTGCCCGACAAAACAGGAAAGAGATAATTTGTCTCTGGAGCCCGAAGTACAAAAAGTGGGCGAGTGAGCTGCTTTAAAGACCCGTTCACTCTTATACGCATTGCCTGAGTTGAACCTTTCCTTTTATGTGCACGCCGGCTATGTTTTTCTAAAGACAACGCGGCTGTTTGGACTGACACATTGGAAGCACACCCAGAGGCAGAGGGCTTCATTCCATCTGTTCATTGTGTAATGTGTGTGTTGATTCTAGCTTGTGTAACTGCTGCCACGTTACACACTGAGGAAAGTAGAAATCCAGCCGTTGATGGATCATCCATATCCTGCCAGATGTTTTTACACAAAAGCACAAGATTTCCATCTTTTAACATTAGTTTGTGGCGACCCAGCTGCGGATGAGTCAGTGGGTAATTTCAGTGGTGTGAAAATACTACTCCTAGAATTTTGTCACATCATGAACTTTTGGTTGTATTAAAATCTCAAATCTTAAAAATAAAAGTTATTATCCTGTTTAAAGGTTAGTTGGAGCAGTGGTCATATATCACGATTTTTCTGTAGTGCTTAGTATTACGTCAGGGCAGGTGTCTGGTTCTGAGTCCAACTTTTCTTCATTGACTTCACTCAAAGAAAACAACTGGGTGATCTGGTAATTGGAATAGTTTTAAAACAGCTGTCTTTTTTTTAAACAAAGCAACATTTACCCACTTAATATTACCCACTGATATCAGTATAATGAGTCAACCAATACCCAGTTGTAAAAATGCTCCCCTGTGCTGTTTTAAAGAACCTAGAGGGCATTTCCCTCTCCCGTTAAAAGTTCTCTGCTGCATAGAAAGCAATGTGTCTTTTATTTATGCAAGCACAAATTGCAGTCTGTCTAAAAGGTATAGAAATTAGCCATGCTACATGCTCAGGTAGTGCTCAGGTACTGACTACATTAATGTTTTTGGCCACTTGGAGCCAATTAAAGAAGCTGTAAACAAAATATTAACATATCGTGACTTCACGAAGTTGTGTAAATGTGTTATCAAGAAATTTGGTTTTACACAGCTAGCAGGCTTCAAGTATTTATCTTGAGAAAAATCCAGTGTCACCTGCCTTTTAGCTTTGTTTTTGTTTCCACCAACTCTCCAAGGAAAAAGCTGACTCAAGAGCTAAATGCTCCACCCGCTAGTTCCTAGCTTTGTCATTTTTTGGCAATGGACAAGTAGTGCACAATGGGTTTGTCCGAGCTTTTTTGTACAAACATATTGCCTTTTGCTTATCGAGATTAAACTCAACCAAGTAAATAAGTGTGTACGTGAGTTTTGGCTGTAGAACCAAAATGTGAACTGAAAGATGCTAAAATGCTCCAAAGCACTGAAGGATACTGTTGCTGGGTGATTATTCTCTGTTGGTCTTTATCTTGTGAGGTCTTTCATGTCACACATAGCAGAGTTGTAGCATAGAGTTGTTTACTCCATTGCCAATATGAAAATATTGAATGCTGCAGGTTTAATCCAAACTGAGTCACATTTAATGCCTAAAAAGGTATGTCAGCCATTAAGAATTACACTTTATGATGTTGTTTTGAAAGCAACAGAAGCTAAGATGTGCTGACTTATAATCCCCAGTATGGGTAAAGCTCGAAAAATACTGAATTTTACATTTCCTGCATTGCAGTGTAACAGCTCTTTTTATCAGACACTCGTTGCCTAGTTTGTAGAGTAGACTTTCTGTTATAAAACTGCACTTAAAACTCAACTTGAGGTTACCCAGCGGAAAGTGCAAGTGGTTCTCAGACTGTGAATTGACCTTTATGTGTAAAATCAGTCAAGTGCCTCTTACCCACCTCATCCCTCGCTCTTCTTTCAGTTGGATTGCACTGAAATGAACAACAAGTATCATTGTGAAAAACTGTGAGACAGCTACCCAGAAATTATTTAAAAAAATATATAATTTATTTGGTGCTCTTCTCTTTTTGTCTTTTCAACAGTTCCAAACAAAATGCTGTCCACCCAGAACCTGCCCTGCTGCACTGTCATCCTATTAGTGCTGTTTAAACTGGCCCATGCCCAGTACGAGCACCTGGGCTACCCGCCGGGCTACCCTGAACCGGAACAGGAACAGTACACTGCCCCTCAGTTGGCTCCAGACACACCCAGGATTCAGCTCCGACTGGCCGGAGACAAGAGGAAACACAATGAGGGCCGCGTGGAGGTTTTCTACAACAACGAGTGGGGAACCGTCTGCGATGACGACTTCACCATCCACGCTGCTCAGGTGGTGTGCAGGGAGCTGGGCTACCTGGAAGCCGTCTCGTGGTCACCATCTTCAAAATATGGGAAAGGAGAAGGTACCTCAATAATTTTCCTTTCAGAAACACACAATAAAATAGGCATACAATAAAAGCAGATTACGACATACTGTTCATAATCTTTCAATTTATGTACTACTGTAGTAACTGGGAAATGTTTCAAGATAAATGTTCCACAGTTTTTTGGAAAAAACAGCCGAAGATTTTTTTAAAAAATGTCTTTTTCCTTTGTTTCCACTACTAAAAGGAAAAATGACTCCCCATGGAAGCACTGATTAATCTTTCTTTTGCCTCTCCAGGACCCATCTGGTTCGACAATCTCCACTGCACTGGCAAAGAGAAGACCTTAGCGCTGTGTCCGTCCAACGGGATCGGCGTGTCAGACTGCAAACACAGCGAAGATGTAGGTGTGGTGTGCAGCGACAAGAGGATCCCGGGATTTAAATTTGTCAACACATTGCCCAACCATGTGGAGGTAAGATTGAAGTGCTTGAAACCCAAAAGCTTTGTGCGGCTTTTGTTTTTCATGGCATCTTTTTTTATTCAGTGTTTTTCCAAAGGATATAAAACTAAGAGTGGTGTTGTTGTGACAGTGTGTTTTGATACAAATGTTAACTTTAGCAACAATTATAAGAACTTAAGCGTATTTTATGTCATTTATCAGGGTCCAATATACAATAGGGTTTATTATGATTTACTAATATGTAAGAGTAGGTCATCATACTGACACACTTAGTGAAACTGTTGCTAAATGTGGTACTAGAAAGGTCTTAAAAAGTCTAAAAGTTAGTACATGTTGAACAATGCAGATACCCAACACGTATTAGCAACGTGCAGGGGAGGGACTATGACTTCTTCTCATATTGAATCTTGTAAATGTATTTTCTTATTCATTCTGTGAATTCTGCTCCTTTTTTGATAATGTCTGACAGTGCCCAAGCACAGTGTCAAGAGTTGAGACTCTCAATAACCTTTGCTTTGCTCACGTGCTACAGGAGAAGCTTTTGATGGGTTTTCACATTTTGTTGTGGGATGTTGTGTGGATTATTGAGGGTGTAGCTGGGAATTTTTTTGTGTCTATTTTGCCGTGCTGACACTGTGAGAGGGCTTAGCAACTAATTTTTATAGACTGACATGAGAAGATTCTCCCCCAGCTACATCTGTGGACATCAAAGTTTGTGACAGCATTTGAATATGACTTGAGACATGTTAAATGTGTTAAAGAAATGGATCCAAACTAGTAAAGTGGTCTTTTTATGCAAACAGCTGTGCTTCAAAGTGACATTACATTTAGGAGAGGAGGTGCATATCTGAAAAGGACTTTATTTTCCTAAGGTGTGCAAAAGATAAGTACATTATTCATATGTTTAATGGATACACAACTTGTGCAAAGGAAACATTTGCATTAATGGGTAAATTTAGTGCAGTAGTATGTAGGACTGCATCCTCATTATCAGCCATGACTTGACTCTCTGTTTCTCAGCAGTGTTGCAAACTAATTTCACTTTAAAGTAGTTAAAGTCTCAAAAAGCTGTCAAAGGTTGCTAGATGCATGCACTAATCAATGTATTTATTATGTTAGCTTGTTGTATTGTATCCTGCCCAGCACTAGCCAGTATCAAGCCTTTACATTTGATTGCTTCTTTGTATTTTAATACAGCAGCTGAAAGTATTCTTGTTTACATGTTTTTCTATTTCTGTTGTCAGATGATAGAATGAGTATTAAATAGTCAATGACACGCAGCTCATCAAGACTTCAAGTTAACCAGCAGTCACTTCAATGCCATTTCCTGGCTGGTCCTCTTGAAAAACAGATTTTATGGCCACAGCATTGTCTGACAAATTCAACATACACACGAACTAAAGGCAATGGCTTTGTTGTAGTTTCAGCGATATTTATTTTTAAAATTATCGTTCAGAGAGAAAGGTAGAAACGACAAAGTCTTCCTGTCTTTCTTTCACAGTGCAGAACCATTCGTCGGGGTAACAGTCATGTTTGCACATGCGCAGCTCATTCAAGCAACTGCCAGGTGCTTTGTGGTCAACTAAATGTTCAGCTCCTCTGCCACTCGCTGAGCTGAGTGGACGCAGAGATTTGTTGCTAGATTTGTTGCTAGTCATTAACTCTTGTCTCTGTAAGTACTGATGACTGCGCTGTGTTCTGATTGGACAGCTTTCAGAAACTCTACAGACTCTGGCTATCTCTGGGGGCTACAACTCTCTGTACATGTTCAAGCCTGTATTTGGCGCATATATACGTGAGAGGACAACACCAACAACCATCTAAACAAAAACATTACAACAAACACTACGGAACAGTTTGTGAGGCCACACAAAATATCTAATGTCAGTTTGATAGGAAGGGGAGGTTACAGGTTACTGAAGTCTGGGCTTTAGACTCGAAGAAAGCATATTTATATACATTTTCCTTAGCTTTTAAAACTTTGACCATGCATTGCATAAACTCATTACATTATAGGAATGACAAAGTAGTAAAAACAAAAGAAAAAGGTTAAGCCTGACGCACCAAAACACTGTATCTTACATTTTCCATGATGCATAGCATATTTTTGTTTGATTGTTCCTGCATAGCAAATGCCTTAATTCATTATTCCACACCCCAAATTTACAATCTCAGCCTCTACATAAAATTTTCAAGAAATCAACACCCAGCCGAGTTCATTAGCAGTTTTCTTTCAGACTTGGTAAGACTCCTCCAGACTTACATCAGACAGTTGTTGTATTCCTAATGCCTTTTTGAATAATAAATCTTTCCTAGTTTTTGGCTGGAAACAGCTCTGTACAATAAAGTCAATAACCCATCCTGACTTTCTGTCGTAATAATAGTCCTTTTTAAATAGCCTGCAGTGAAAGTGTGTCAGGGAAAGTGAAGTTAAACTGGTAATTGTTAGGTGTTGCACTCATAACTGTCAGAGTCATCTGGCTGGACCTTTAAAAACCCTGCTGAGCATCGCTTTTTGGGCCGGCCAATAAGCTTGAAGCTAATTGCCACCACAAGCAGAATGTTATCTTTCTGCTCAGTGTGCAGGCCTCATGAATCCACATTCCAATGTTATGAGCAAACAGCAGACCAGAGCTAACGCTGCCTCCGACTCCCTTTCTGACCCACTCCTCTGCTTCTTTGGAGAATTTAAAAACGAGTGTAGCTTTTTTCATAATGCCCTCAAAACTTGTGTGGACAGCTCAGTGAAGCTTTTGTTTTTGTTTTCAACAGCAACTGGCAGGATTTAGGGGTTTTTAGGGTTGGCTTGAAAAGAACAACTATTCACTGAGACCCTGAGCTCGTCAGATGTGATGTACTCCCTCTCACAGCAGAGATTGTTCAAGTATGTAATTTCTGTTTTAATATAACAATGCATCAAACAATAATGTGCAAAAGTAATAAAGGGGTCACTCTCAGTGATGAACCTACAGACAGTTTTGATGCAAATTAATCCTTTATTGTGAGTCTCTTTCTTTGTTTTGTTGAGTGTCGCATTCACAAATTTGTATCCGCTCCAAGAGGCCTAAAAAAAACAGTTTTTGTAGATTTTCACTGAAGTTTCACCCTGTCTACTGCTTCAAAAGATGTAGCATTGCTCTACTGGAGCACTGTCGAATTCACAATGGATAGATGATACAAAACCAAATGTATCTTCTTTGTCAAAACTTGGTGCCTTCATTACCCACAAGACCCCTCCAGTGCTGATGGTTTAGCCAGAGATGCGAGTGTGCTATGCTAGTAATGGCTGATGTAGCCTTGTCTCTGGTAGTTGGCATGGGTTTACTAAGCCAAACTGGTTGACTCAACTTAAAGATGGAGGCTGCTTAAATTAAATTAATTCAAATTGCCTGCTTGTTGCAAAAAAAAATGTTGTCTAGTCTCTAGTCATGTGGCCCAAAGCATGTTCATTAGTGTTCGCCTCACTGCTGTGTTCTGCTCAGTCCCTAGACTTTACCTTCTAGATGCTTTAAAACCTCAGTACAAACTCAAAATAGACTAAATACTAGCAAGGAACCAGCAGGAGGCGACTCCTCTGGTTGCTAAAAGACGTCGGATTGTATAAAAGTTTACAAGAAAATAACTGTACCCTCCTTTGCTACGTTAGCAAACATTTTCCTAATGAGTTTATGGTCTCTGTAGCCACTCTCAAGACCTAATGAATACAACATTATGTTCATTTTGTAAATTATGGTCATATTTGGAGGAAAAATAGGTAATAAATCAGATTGTGCTTCATGGCAGAGCTACCTTGTGATTTGATGGTCACCACTGTATTTTTGTGTTCAGGTCCTCTGGATTTCAGCCAAATTAACTCAGAACAGTAGTCTACAAACCAACGGGTGAAGTCATGGTCGCTACATTCATCTTCTTATACTGTCTATTTCAGCAGCACTGTATCAGCTATCTGAATACTTCCACAGGAGCGGGCTACAGACTTCTGCTATGTTCACATCTTTCTAACTTCATGCAACTTCAGCTCAACTTCAGTTTTCCGATTCTTCAGCTCCAGTGATTTCAGCTCAAGTGACATCACTTATAGACATATATCACACTTCCAACATTTAAATCTGTAGACGTAAAAGGCTTTATTCAGCTTTTTTTTGTTGTTGTTTTTTACACATACAGTAGCATTTGCCAAGACCTGTAAATGCACTTGGATGTGTGAAATTACTTCCCTTTTAAAGCCACATTGTGGGAGCAGATACATCCAGCTGACTTCCTGCACAGAGGTTTACAGAGACAAAAGGTAAAGATTATGATTCTCCAGGGAGCGCGGCTGGTGAGGTCTAGACGTCTGGAGTCAGGCTGGGATAGAAAGAAAAAAAATCTGACTAAGCTTTTCCATTCACTGAAAGAAGTCACATGGGCCCCCAGCATGTAAAGCGCTGCCAGTCGGGAGCTCCGCTCTGCCACACAGCTGGGCCTGGCCTTATCGTCTGGTGACTCACCCAGGCAGCCACACTCTGGTGTGTAATGGCAGCCATGACGACATGTCGCTGGGGGTTTTTGTGGTATGGGATGATTGGTAGACTTTATACTGAGGCACCGCTGCCTTCTCAGGTGATGGTAAGCTCAGTGCAGGAGCGCAGCCAAACAACCGCAAAGGAAATACTCCGAGAGTGAGCTAAGACAGAAGTGAAACATGAACCTTTGTGTGTTGCCGACCTTTGACATCTGTGCTTAGATTTCTTTGTGTGTGCTCGGTCTTATTACACTGTTGAAACAAAAAAAGGAGGTGTTGACAGTTTGAGCACTTGAAGCTGTTGTTTTTTTTTTCTGCATTCTCGCAGAAACTAAACATGTCATTCCATGAACTTGTTCTTTTGTGGTCAGTGGATTCCAGTGACTACATATTTAGCACTGTGTTTCAGTCAGCTGGATAGTAAACAACACACAGTAGAACCCAGTGTTCAGTTCAGTGTCCTGGGGATATTTACTGCAGCATCTCTCCACTGTTTATTTATATATTC